TAGAGCCCTTCCAGCTGACCAAAAGGCTCGTCCATAATATGTGGGACCCTGGCCTGGAAGCTGGGGAAAGGGCTTTGAGGGTGAAATCATGTGAGGAAGGGGGCTGATCCCAAGGACTAGTAGCTGATCCTACAGAAGTAGAGGCTCTTCAGCTACTCCAGGGAGACTGAGATCACCTGGAAGAGGGCTCAAAGCTTGCTTCTAACCCCATCCTCAGCAGCAGTTCGGAGGTTGTGTGTATGGCAGGGCGTTGTAACACCTGCCTGTTTGTAGGCTCAGCTCTTAGTCCCCCAAGCCCCTCCAACCCCCTCGTCTGTCCTTCCCCTACTCCCACTCATCAGGAAGAACTCACAGATTTGGAGGGGAACCAGGTTCAGAGGGGAACCGAGTACTCTACCCTGAGAAGGAGCTCCTGAAAGGCTTCCCTCCTTTTCCCTCTCTTTATCCATAAAACACCCAGAGCCCTACTTCCTGCCTTTGCTAATGAGAACCATTCATTTCTGGAAACAATCAGTTATTTCTGCTCTCATGAGTTAGTGTCTTTTCTTTTTTAAATTCTGGGTTACATGTGCAGAATGTGCAGGTTTGTTAATAGGTATACACGTGCCATGGTGGTTTGCTGAATTAGTGTCTTTTCTTGCTGGGAAAAACTCCAGTCAAACCCTTAACTTCATCTCCTTGTTCTTAGAGCATGATCTTGTGGATCTGAGAGTTAGGATCCCTCTTGACTGGGTAGTCTTGGCTTTTTGGTTTTTTTTGAAATGGAGTCTTGCTCTGTTGTCAGGCTGGAGTGCAGTGGCGAAATCTCGGCTCACCACAACCTCCGCCCCCCAGGTTCAAGTGATTCTCCTGCCTCAGCTTCCCGAGTAGCTGGGACTACAGGCATGCACCACCATGCCTAGCTAATATATATATATTTTTTGTATTTTTAGTAGAGATGGGTTTTCACCATGTTGGCCAGGATGGTCTCCATCTCTTGACCTTGTGATCCACCTGCCTCGGCCTCCCAAAGTGCTGGGATTACAGGCGTGAGCCACCGCGCCCGGCCAGTCTTGGCTTCTTTATGTGGCTACAAGGCTCCAGGGAGCCATGCTGAAGGCCTGAGAAGGAGCTGGGGTGGGATAGGGAAGGATCGAGGGCCTGTCTGTGGCTGCCGTGACCCTCACGTCGGGAAGCCCCCATCACTCCGGTGCCTGAGAATCCCTGCGCCTTTTGGATTTGTTCTCCCTGTTTCTGTGAGCTTGAGTAAGGTTGTGGATTTGTGGCTTCTCTTGTACTCAAGAAATCTGCCTACACCTACAGAATTTCTTCTGCCCCGGGACTGGGCCCCTTTTTAAGTCTGAAAAATGCAGCAATATCAGAGTGAGTTATATACATGTATAACATGCAGATGCTGGTTATACATATGCAGTATCAGGTGAGTTATGCACACTTAGAGCATACACATGCCGTGTCAGCATAAGTTAGGATGAGCTTATGTGTGATCACAGGAATTCTGAGTGTGACCCTCAGGAGTCCCTGTTTCAGTCAAGCAGGAAACTTCGTGCCACAGGGCAGTGAAGCCGACTAGGGAGTGCAGAGGAGGAGGGCAGAGTGAGGGCCTCAGGCTTCTGGCACAAGGCCCTGGGTGGTGCCGGGGTTTGGGGCTGAGGGGCCTCACAGACTCCAGGAGGAAGTGTGTTCAGGCTTAGCAGGCTGAGCTTCTCAAACACCACCTTACGGAGACAGCAGAAGATGTGAGTGTGGGGGGAACTGTGTATATTGGGGAGTTGGGGGAACTGCCAGAAGTTATTTCAGCAGCATATCCTTCACCCACCACTGTTTCTGGAGGGCCCTGACCTCTCCATCCCCCTCCAAGCACCACCCTGGCACTCGCCCATCCTGGGTTTGTGAGGTGACCTCTGCCCTTCATCCCCTAGAGACGTCTGTTTGGCCAGGGCTAGCTGGTGGGACTGCAGCCTCCCAGCATCTGTGCCTCTTTTCTGGAGGCGGCTAAGCCACGGTTTCCTCACCTGTGAAGTGGAGATGATGGTAGCCTGGAGACTTTGGGATGAGTCAGCTTGCCTAGGCTGAATCGTATTCTTAGAGTTCCTTTTCTTGGGTGTGTCTTGTTATCGTGGGTCACCGAGAGCTTCCCATGGTGAGGGGCTTGGGGGCGGGTGGGAACAGCAGTCCTCTCTGTAGCTCACACACGCTGTTGCGGCCCTGCTGACTTGTGGTGCTGATGTGAGGTGGTGGCCAGGCCTGCACCAGCCACCCTCCTCTGGAGCCCCCTTCAGTCTCCAGCCCCTGAGCCAGGCATATGTGTTCAGTTCCAGGATGAAGGATCTTGGCTTTGGCAGGATGCCCACACCAGCAACTTCAGAAGCAACAAGAACTGACATTGGTTTCAGTCTGTCTGTCCTCGGCTCTCCAGCCTGTGCTTACGGATTCTGACTTGCCCTTGATCTCCCCCACTTTACCTCCATGCTTCTTTCCCAACCATCTCCCCTGCAAACCTCAAGCCCCAGCATCAGATGGGAAGACAGCCACTTTATAGACACAGCTTACCCAGTGCCCACGACTGCCTAAGGTCAAATCCCCGAAATAAAGCCCTTCACATGTATCAGAAGGGTCTCTCTATCATCTATCTATGTGTCTATGTATCTTTCTGTGTGTCTATGTATCTATCCATCTATCATCTATCTACTATCTATTGTATATTTATTTATCTATCTTCTATTCACTATTTACCTGTCTATCTATCCTATCTATCTATCTATCTATCTATCTATCTATGTATCTATCTACTTCTCTGGCTAAATGCTGACCCAGGTAGACATGTATTGCCTCATGAGGTCAGAAATGAATGGAGCCCAGATACTTGAAAGCATTTGGTCACTGTAGGGTAGTAGTTCTTCAACTTGAGGACACATCAGAATTGCATGGAGGGCCTGTTAAAATCCAGAGTGCTGGATCCCACCCCTGGAGTTTCTGGTTCTCAGGTCTGGAGTGGGGCCTGAGAATTTAATTGGTAAAGCTGCCAGGTGATGCTGATGCTACGGATCTGGGGACCACACCTGAGAACCACTGCTGTAAGGCGTGGTATGTGAGGGTGAGGGGTTACTGTAGCCCACACAGCGATCCTGGCAGGGCAGCTGCAGCAGTGCCTTCCCTGAGGCAACAGGAATCTTCGCAGTCTGAGGACCCTGCAGGATCACAGGGCCAGGGATGAGACACGGAGCCTTGCTTGCATCTGCTCCTCAGCCTGCTTTGGGGATGAAAGCACAGGGCCCCTGCTTTCTGGGAGGCACACTGGTCGGAAGGGAGAGGCCAGGCTCAGGAATAGTGGACCCAAGGGTGAATCCTGGCCCTGTCCAGTATTCCCAGGCAAGCATCCTGCTCTGTGAGTCAGGATAATGATGCCTCACCGGGTTTTCAAGAGGCAGATACAAATGAAGTCCCTGTTGAATAAATGCTACTTCCCTATGGCTCTCTGACTTAGCTTTTGCTATTGATTGAAAAATGTGTAATTGAGGTTTTGAACCTAAGTTTGAGACTTTACATTGACCTCGATTAAGTTGAGTTTGGCTGGTTTTAATCCATCATCCCAGGCTGCTAAGATGTGCCTAAGCCTTCAGCCTGTCAATTGGCATATTAGTGGTCCCTCCCTAGTTACTGGTGGCCTGCCGGCTCTTCCTTCCTTAGTATTGCTGACACTAGATTGTATTTTTTTTTTTTTTTGAGGCTTGCTCTGTAGCAGGCTGGAGTGCAATGGCATGATCTCTGCTCACTACAACCTCCACCTCGCCGGTTTAAGCCATTCTCCTGTCTCAGCCTCCCAAGTACCTGGGACTACAGGCACGCACCACCATGCCTGGCTAATTTTTGTATTTTTAGTAGAGACGGGGTTTCACCATGTTGGCCAGGATGGTCTCAAGCTCTTGACCTTGTGATCTGCCCACCTCGGCCTCCCAAAGTGCTGGTATTACAGGTGTGAGCCACAGTGCCCAGCCTTGATTGCATGTTTTAGGGCACACAGTGGGGTAGGGGAGCAGAGCTTGCTCATGAAGCCAGGGAAGAGTTCTCAACTCAGCACTTTTGCAGCTCTGAACTGGGAAGCTGCCTTCAAAGTTTTTAGTGGGTCTTTGCACCCAAATTAGAAACACCTCGCGCCTGTAATCCCAGCACTTTGGGAAGCTGAGGCAGGTGGATCACCTGAGGTTAGGAGTTTGAGATCAGCCTGACTAACATGGTGAAACCCCATCTCTACTAAAAATACAAAATTACCTGGGCATGGTGTCGGGCGCCTATAATCCCAGCTATTCAGGAGGCTGAGGCAGGAGAATCCCTTGAACTCAGAAAGTGGAGGTTGCAGTCAGCTGATATTTCACATGGCATTGCAATCCAGCCAGGGCAACAAGAGCAAAACTCCATCTCTTAAAAAAAAAAAAAAAAAAAAAAAGCTGGGCATCGTGGCTCATGCCTGTTAATCCCAGTACCATGGGGGGCCGAGGTGGGTGGATCACCTGAGATTGGGAGAGCTCGAGACCAGCCTGACCAACATGGAGAAACCCCGTATCTACTAAAAAAATACAAAATTAGCTGCGCGTGGTGGTGTGTGCCTGTAGTCGTAGCTACCTGGGAGGCTGAGACAGGAGAATTGCTTGAACCCGGGAGGCAGAGGTTGTGGTGAGCCAAGATCGCACCATTGCACTCCAGCCTGGGCAACAAGAGCGAAACTCTGTCTCGAAATACATACATACATACATACATAAAACAAAATAAAATAAAAATAAACATTTGAAGTGGTGGATACAGGAAGGGTCCCCTGTACTGATGGTTTGTTGCCCACCTGAACACTGACTGTGTGTGCGCCCAAAGCTGAGAGGACACCAGACCTAAGATGCGGTTTCTAGCTCCCAGGCAGCCTAGGCGACCAGCTTCGAGAGCGAGAGCTTGTGAAGGGTCCCCCTTCACTGACACTCTTCCCCATGAATAAAGTACCAAAGGGAGAGACAGAACTGGAGAACACACTTCTTATAACATCGACTGTTTTCAGGGATTGAGTGAGGCCCAAGGGGAAAACAGCCAGGTGCTCTCCAGCAGGAAGGCACAGGGGCGTTGGTCCCCGCTGAACTGACTGGACTGCAGTTCCTGGCTTATCCTCTCACGGTCTCTGTCTCAGGACGTTCTGGAACCAGGCTGCTGCCTTAGACTCGGACCTGCTGTTGTTCCTTCTTTTTCACCTCTGCCCAGATGTCCGACAGGTCTTGGATAAACTGCTGGATCTAAAAAGGCAAGGAGCCCAGTGTTAACTCCGTCCCCCAGAGGCATCCCTCCTCCCAACACGGAGCATCCCAGGCATTCACTTGCAAAGGGTGCATCGCTTTTCTGTGACTGACTTTTTTTTTGGATATGAGAGTCTTGCTCTGTCACCAAGGGTGGAGTGCAGTGGCGCAATCTAGGCTCACTGCAACCTCTGCTACCTGCGTTCAAGCGATTCTCATGTCTCAGCCTCCAGAGTAGCTGGGATTACAGGTGCCGCCAGCTTGCCTGGCTAATTTTTGTATTTTTAGTAGAGATGGGTTTCACCATGTTGGCCAGGCTGGTCTTGAACTCCTGACCTCAAGTGATCCACCTGCCTCGTCCTCCCAAAATGCTGGGATTACAGGCATGAGCCACCACACTTCTTGAGGAAGCCGCTTTCTTTCACTTGACAATGTTTTGAGGTGAAATTGAGTGTCAAGTGAAGCCAATTAGAAGCAACAAGCAAGGATCGAGCTGGGAACTCCTAGAGGCAGGCCTGGTGATGTGTGAAGTCCAGGCTGAGAATCAAACAGGAGGGAGAAGAAAGAAAGGGTCACAGGCAGGCTAGTGGATGAAAAGGATTTGGCAGGCAGAGTCCCGTCAGCATGGGTAGACCGCCCTCCACAACTTCACCACCCTCAAGGTGGTTGTGCACTCAAAACCCAGAGCTGATGCTCATCGTGATAACCTTGAGTCATGAAAAGAGATGTAAATTCTGTTCACTGGCTTCTGTTTTGTTTCTTTCCTTTTTTTTTTTTGAGATGGAGTCTCACTCTGTTAACCTTGAGTCATGAAAAGAAATGTAAATTCTGTTCACTGGCTTCTGTTTTCTTTTGTTTTGTTTTTCCTTTTGTTTTTTCTTTTTGAGACGGAGTCTTGCTCTGTTGCCCAGGCTGGAGTGCAGTGGTGTGATCTTGGCTCACTGCAACCTCCACCTCCCAGTTCAAGCGATTCTTCTGCTTCAGCCTCCTGAGTAGCTGGGATTACAGGTGTGTGCCACCACGCCCAGCTAATTTTTGTATTTTTAGTAGAGACAGGGTTTCACCATGTTGGTCAGGCTGGTCTCAAACTCCTGACCTCGTGATCCACCCACCTCAGCCTCCCAAAGTGCTGGGATTACAGGCATGAGCCACCGTGCCTGGCCCTGGCTTCTGTTTTAAAGAACACACAGTCAGCATAACACAGAAAAGGGTGCTACTTCAGAAGTCATATGACCTAGCTGCACCCCCATTACAGTTCTGGGGAAATCACTGCATCTTTCTGTGTCTCAGTTTCTTCATCTTTAATAAGGAGAGAGGGAGAACAGATTGGTCCAGACAGCCTCTAAGACATCAGTTCTAATGCAAACCAAAACCACAATGAGATACCATCTTACACCACTCAGAATGGCTACTATTAAAAAGTCAAAAAATTACAGATGCTGCTGAGGTTGTGGAGAAAAGGGAACATTCACACACTGTTGGTGGAAGTGCAAATTAGTTCAACCATTGTGGAAAGCAGTGTGGCGATTCCTCAAAAAGTTAAAAGTAGAACTACCGTTCAACCCAGCAATCTTGTTACTGGGGATATACCCAAAGGAATATACATCGTTCTACCATAAACACACATGCACGGGATATTTACTGAAACACTATTCACAATAGCAAAGAGATAGAAAAAAACCTAAATGCCCATCAATGGTAGACTGGATAAAGAAAATGTACTTATACACCATGGAATACTATGCAGCCATAAAAAAGAATGAGATCATGTCCATTGTGGGAACATGGATGGAGCTGGAGGTCATTAACCTTCGCATACTAACACAGGAACAGAAAACAAAATACTGCGTGTTCTCATTTATTAGTGGGAGCTAAACAATGAGAACTGGTGGATACAAAGAGGGGAACAATAGACACTGGAGCCTGCTTGAGGGTGGAGAGTGGGAGGAGGGAGAGGACCAGAAAAAATAACTTGGATACTAGGCTTATTACTTGGTTGATGAAATAATCTGTACAACAAACCCTTGTGACATGAGTTTAGCTGTATAACAAACCTGCTCATGTACTCCTGAACCTAAAATAAAAGTTAATAAAAAAAAAAAAAAGATTTCAGTTCTAAAACTTCTGTTTTTCAAGGCTATCTCGAGATGGAACTACGCAGGCTGTCCAAAGGTCTCAACAACTGTCAGCTGCTGATACTGTTACTATTACCAATATCATTCCCATTTTGCAAATGAGAAAACAAAGAGTCAATGAATTAAAGCAGCTTTCCCAAGATGACAGCTTTCCCTAGAAGACAGGTCAGCATTTCTTGAGCTATGTTCTCATAATAAATGGTCACATGCCTCAAAGGAGTTCTGTGGTCAAGTCAGTTTTAGAAATGCTGTCTGCTGGGAGCATCTCAGGGCACAGCAAAGACTCTAAGTCCTGTTTGTTTTTTTAAATCTTGTCTTCGTTTAATTTAGTTTTCTAAATGTATTAGTCTGTGGAGTCCCTTTATTCCCCCTAGGAAACAATATCTCAGGATTCAGTTTGGAAAGTGCTTGTTCAGATAGTTTGGCTTTTCTTCAGGGATAATGCCAAACCTTCCATGACACACTCTATGGAATTCAAATTGCCCTGGCCTTCTGCAGAATCACTTTTCCTAAGCTGTCCTGTGCACCACGCTCCTAGTTCTGTATAAGCAGCTGCCTTACGAAGCCCGTGCCTGCACTGGTTGCAGGGATGCTGTTGAGAACATCATAGGATGTCAATGAAGGCTCATTGGGAAATTTCCGTGAGAGCTAACTGCCAGGAAGAGGAAACCTTATCTTTTCTTATTCTAGTATAAGAACTACAGGTGGCTTTTCATTTGGATTGCCAGGAAGCTCAGAGCCAATTAACTGTCCCTGTCTGAGGGACTTGGTAACTGTCCTTTGGTGAGAACCAAGGGCAGTCTGTACTTCTCTCCATCCTTGACCTCTGATTTCAACTTGTACTTTTCCAGGTTGAATTAATTTTAAATCTTCAGGCTACTTGGTCATGTGTATTTCTATGAGTAGCTTCATCTCCTATGGGAATGAAATGAGATATTTTCAAATAACTTTTGGGCAATATGAAGTTCTCCTGTAGAGGTGAATCCAAGTTGAGAGGGATTCAGAAACTCAAAATTTGGAGTGGATGGACTGGAAGCTATGGTCTCAGCAGGGGATGAGCTTGTGGGAGCGAGGGGCTGGAGGGTGGCATCTCCCACTGAATCTTGAGACAGAGTTTTGCTCTTGTTGCCCAGGCTGGAGTGCAATGGCGCGATCTCAGCTCACTTCAACATCGCCTCCTGGATTCAAATGATTCTCCTGCCTCAGCTACCTGAGTAGCTGGGATTACAGGCACTTGCCACCATGCCTGGATAATTTTTGTATTTTTAGTTGAGACGGGGTTTTATCATGTTGGCCAGCCTGGTCTCGAACTCCTGACCTCAGGTGATCCAGCCACCTTGGACTCCCAAAGTGCTGGGATTACAGGCGTGAACTATGGCGCCCCGCCCTCCTGCTGCATCTTTCTTCACAATAGCTAAGGGCAGGCGCCTGAGGACCTCTGGGAGGCCAAGGGGAGGGGGACTGAGTATCTTTTTTTTGAGACGAAGTCTCGCTCTGTCACCCAGACTGGAGTGCAGTGGCTTGATCTCGGCTCACCACAGCCTCTGCCTCCCGGGTTCAAGAGATTCTCCTGCCTCAGCCTCCCCAGTAGCTGGGATTACAGGTGCCCGCCACCACGGGTCTGGCTAATTTTTGTATTTTTAGTAGAGACTGGGTTTCACTATGTTGGCCAGGCTGATCTCAAACTCCTGACCTCAGGTGATCCATCTGCCTCAGCCTCCCAAAGTGCTGGGATTATAGGTATGAACCATCTTGCACAGCTGGGCCTGAGGATTTCTGGGAGTCTCTGACACCCTATTCTGGGTGACAGGGGTTTTGAGGCCAAAACTCTTTTTATAATAATACTAAAATGTTATTTGCCTTTTTTGCTCTTATTCTCTCCACAGTGGCATTTCCAGAGAGGAGTTTCCGTGACATATGCTGTCACAACAGAATGAATGCAGAAGCGGACATGAGCACCTACCTGTCCTCTGTTAAACCAGACATTAAAGGGATTTGCAAGTGTGTCAAACAATGCCATTCTTCTCACAAAACACTTTTGAAGCTTTTTTCATAAAAATGCTGTTTCTATTGACATATTTTTATTATTATTTAAAATAAATGAATTAAATATTTTTAAATTTTCTCCTTTAATTTCTATTATGGTAATTACCAATAGATACAACCCCTAGAAAGGAAAGCTCTCTGGGAGTCCTCAATAAACTCTAGGAGTGTAAAGACAAAGTGCTGAGAATTGCTACTTTCAGAACAAACTTTCTTACAAATCCTCTCCTTTGGGCTGTAACATAATTCTGTTCAAACATGCTTTAAGTGGTAGGCTTGATTATTTATTTTAGGGAAATCCTTTTGCATTGCTGTGTATATTTCATGAGTTTACCCTTTTTATTTTTTCAAAGTAGGGAAAGTGCCTCTCATTTTTTTTTTTTCTCGGTTTACTGTAGCCTCTGCTTCTTGGGTTCAAGTGATTCTTCTGCCTCAGCCTCCCGAGTAGCTGGGATTATAGGAGTGTGTGCCATCATGTCCAGTTAATTTCCTTCTTTTTTTTTTTCTTGAGATAGAGTCTTATTCTGTCACCCAGACTGGAGTGCAGTGGCATGATCTCGATTCACTGCAACCTCCACCTTCCAGGTTCAAACAATTCTCCTGTCTCAGGCTCCCAAGTAGCTGGGATTCAGGTGCACACCACCACGCGTGTTTAATTTTTGTATTTTTAGTAGAGATAGCGTTTCACCATGTTGGCCAGGCTGGTCTCAAACTCCCAACCTCGGGTGATCTGCCCGCCTCGGCCTTCCAGAATTCTGGGATTACAGGTGTGAGTCACCAGGCCCGGCCTCCAATTTCTCTTTTTAACAAACGGTGGATCTCAGGCTCAGGCCTTCAGCAAGCCACAGTATCTCACTAGAATTTAATAAGGCTGTTTTGCACAACTAATGGATTCAATATGGGTCCCTGCTACTGCTTTGTATACTGGGGCCAAAAAGGGTTTAGTGCTAATGCAATGATTCTCAAAGTATGGAACCTGAACCAGCAGCGTCACTTGGGAACTTGCTGAAAATGTAAATTCTCATCTCAGATCCACTGAGTCAGAGACTCTGGGTGTGGGGCCCAGTAAGACTCCTCCTCCCAGGTGATCCTGATATTGTGAAAATTTGAGAGCCCCTCCTCTGCTGCTCTGTGGGGTTCATCCTTCCACCCAACCAATTGGCAACCTCTTTGGCCCAGCAGACCCAACGGCCCCAGTGCCTGTCCCCATCCTCCTACCATGTCCAGCTGCTTGTGCGTGTCCTCCAGCGCCACCTCAGTTGCCTCCTTTAGCTGCTTGCTCACGATCTGGAAGAGGTTCAGCGTGGCCATCTTAATGGTGCCAAGCAGGAGGGTCTTCTTGGCAGCAGTGTTCTGGATGTGTGCCCAGCGAGATTCCTGGGGAGGGGATAAGGACGGGGCATGAGCACAGAATGTGGGGTGTGTGTGTGTGTGTGTGTGTGTGTACTCAGAGCTCTCACTCACCCAGTGCCTGCCCCGGGCCCCCTCACCCAGATGATGACGTTGCTGCGGGCACGGTCAAAGCGCATCTGCAGCCTTGCCAGCTCATTGTTTTGCTGCAGGATTTCATCATCCTTCTCTTCCATGTAGTGTGCCAGCCGGGCCTTGGCATGCTCAATCTTCTCCTGCCCCTCCTGCGCAGACTGCATGAGGTCGTGGTGCATGCTCATCAGCGTCTTGTAGCGGGCGATCACCTCATGGATCTCCTCGAACTGCGGACAGGGGCTCAGGTCAATGCACAGCCAGCCTCAGGGGCCTGATGGAGCCACCCAGTCCTGCCAACCCCCAGCCTGGATGCCTGGACATCTGGGGAGACAGGCCCTTGGCCAGGGGCATGGCCAGAGGCTGTGAGGAACATTGGAGTTCCCGCTGCCTGCCTCTCCTGGGTTTGTATCGGCCATGGTCCATTTGTTGGGCTGGGGGGGATGTACAACTGGGCCAGGGATTTCCAATTTTAACTGCATGTTAGAATCACCTGCAGGGGCTTTAAAAAGGATACCTGCCAGTCTCTACCCCCAGAGATTCAGATGAATAAACAAGTCTTCTGTGGTCTCTGACACCTGAATTTTGCAAAAGATCCCCAGGTGGTTCCAGGCACAGCCAGGGTTGATAATTGCTGGTGGAGGGCATTTTGATATGTCTCCTAAGGCAAGAATTTCCTATTCAACGAGGTTGTACCAAGAACCACTTATAAGTCAGAAGCTATGCTAAATGCTAGGGAAATAGCAAGAGATGGGAAATCCAGACTCTGCTCTTAGGAAGCTTACAGCCTGAGGGGTGGCATGGAGGGAGGACAGACAGACAAGTAAACAGTTACAACAGTAAGATAAGCCCTATCTTTGACTGGGGACAGGGCTGGACAGGAATCTGGGCGAGGCTTCCAGTTGGTGATCTCTGGTATTTATTCATTTGCTGAGGGAGAAGCGGGGGCTAGAGAGGGTGCTGGTGGGGCAGGTGGCCTGCCAGACTCAGCTCACCTCCTCCAGCATGGTCCAGAACCACGCCACTTTGGCCCTAATCCTCAGGTCCCGCTCAGTGGAAGAGAAGCCCTGAAATCAACTCTCTTTAGAAGGCAGAGCATGAGCACCAGTTCTGTGATGCCAAGTTGCCTTCCTAGGGGCTTATCAAAGCATGCCTTTCAGCCACTCAGGGGAAACTTCCTGAGCACCTTCTCCATCTCATGACATCGCCAGGGACGGATGGGTGTCCTGGGAACTGCCCTGCTGGCCTTTCCCCAAATATGCCTCTTCGGGGAAGGGCCACCCAACTCAGCACTGGAGGAGGTAGAAACAGCCCGAAAAGGTTTATTGGGAGAAAGGGTGGCTGAAATGAGAGAGGAGGTATGAATGGATGACAGCCAGCAAAATGAGTGTGGGGAGGTGAGGCAGTGCTACAGGTGGAGGAGACAGCCTGGACAAAGATAAACAGAATAGGGGGTGGCATGTTCACGACGTTCAGGGTAGCCTGAGTTCAAGATGGGGAGGAAGAGATTGACAAGAAGAAAAGAAGAAGGAAGAAAGAGGGAAGGAAGAAGAAGGAGAAGAAGAAAAAAAGAAAGAGAAGGCAAGAAAGAAAGGAAGAAAAAGAAAGAAAAGAAAGGAAAAAGAAAGAAAAAAGAAGAAAGAAAGAAAGAGAAAGCAGGCAAGCAAGAGTTCAGTAAACCTTGGGAAGGAGTGTGGACTTTATCCATTGAAGGATTTTAAGAAGCAGAGAGGGCTGGGCATAGTGGCTTCTGCCTGTAATCCCAGCATTTTGGGAGGCTGAGGCGGGTGAATCACGGGGTCAGGAGTTCAAGACCAGCCTGGCCAAGATGGTAAAATCCTGTCTCTACTCAAAATACAAAAATTATCCAGGCATGGTGGTGGGCACCTGTATCCCAGCTACTCGGGAGGCTGAGGCAGAGAATTACTTGAACCCAGGAGGTGGAGGTTGCAGTGAGCCGAGATTGTGCCACTGCACTACATCCTGGGTGACAGAGTGAGACTCCATCTCAAAAACAAAAAAGCAGAGAGACAATTCACATCTACATTTCTGAAAGTTCATCTGGCACACAGTGCAACAGCACCACAGTTCAAATAAACAGACTACATCCAAGCTACTAGGAACACACCTCTAAAACTTAATGCTGATGCCAAAACGATTCAGGTGTCAAATCAAAGAGCCTCCAGTGTCCAAAGATGAGACGATTTGAACATTAGTAAGAATAAGTGCAAAGGATTAAAACATACCAAATATGTTAAAAACCTATAAGTTCACAATGATACTAGAAGCATTACAGGTGAGTGCTAGAGAACCAATTCATTATTCTGAAAACTGTAAATAAAGCATTTGACAAACTTTCTCTGTAAGACCCACACAATCATCAAATGGGAAGGTTCTCTCTTATGAAGTCCTTTTCTTTAATGGTAGTGTTCAGGCAAATAAACGAAGAAGGGCTGCTAGTGAGTATCTTCCCCACACCATTGAGGAAACCAATATTCTGACTTCTATCACTAAAGATTAATTTTACCTGTTTTTAAACACATGAGTGGAATCATGCGATGTAACCGCTTTTGTGTCGGGCTTAAGAAGTGTACCAACTAAGGGCCGTGTGAGGACCTTAGTGGACCACAATTGGAACAAACCAACTGTACAAAAAGCATCTGTGCAATAACTTGTCTTAAAAGACAGGATCTCACTCTATTGTCCAGGCTGGAGCACAGTGGTACAAATATGGCTGACTGCAGACCTGACCTCCTGAGCTCAAGCAGTCCTCCTGCCTTAGCCTCCCACGTACTTGGGACCACATATGTGTGCCACTATGGCCGACTACTTTTTATTTTTAAATTTTTTTGTCGAGTTGGGGGGAGGGTCTCACTTTTTTGCTCAGGCTGGTCTTGAACTCCTGAGCTCAAGTGATCCTCCCACCGTGGCCTCCCAAAGCACTGGGATTACAGGCATGAGCCACCACGCTTGCCCCATTTTGTGCGAGAAATGATACTGATATTTGATGTTAAGGAATTACTATCAATTTTATAGTAGGTGTGACAATGGTGTTATAGTTATGTTAAAAAGAATTCTCATCTCTTAGAGATACATACTGCAGAGAGACACATATGGTTGAAAATATACCATTTGCTTCAAAATGGCGGAGGTGGGCTAGTACAGGGGATGTGACTATGAATTGATAATTTCTGGAATCAAATATTGAGCAGCAGATGTTCAATACACTGTTGTCTTTACTTCTGTATATGTTTAAAAATTTTCATATAAAAAGTTACAAAACGTTAAATGTTATAATAAAAACAAGCATGAGATGAGGATTTTTAAAAGCAGGGTACTCTTGGTGTCTGAGGAGAGGTGAAGAAGCATGAGATTTGGAAGGACACAAAGGATTTCATTTATTGGATTTCAATTGTCAGTAGTGTTTAAGACAGCAGAACTGGGGGCAGATGGGGAAAAGATGAAGATTTAGCAAAGCTGAATGATGAGTACTTGGTTGCTATTATGTGCGTCTCTATACTTTCCAGTATGCTTAAAGTATTTTGAACAAAATAAACAAAGAAGAAAAGAAAGAAAGAGCGGGGTGGGAGGAATGTCAAATAGGCTGGCCAGGAATGATGCCGAGTTGAACTCCAGATGAGGTACCACTGGTGGCCTGGATGGGGAAGGGGCTGGGACTGGATTCCAGAAATACTTCCAAGGCAGAACAGACCAGATCTGCTGATTGATAGCTGTGGCACTGAGCAAGAGGGAGGAACCAAGGAGGCCCAGGTTCTGGCAGAGCTGTGGGTGGGTGGTCCTGCCATTCACCAGCACAGGACAGACCAGCAGCAGGGTTGGCCTGGGGGTGGCAGGAAGTAGATGAGATGAGTGTGCATGGGGAAGAGTTAGATGTGGGGGTCTCAAACTTAGGAGCAAGACACAGGCCAATTTCCTCAATCCTAAAATACATATTTTAGCAACTCTGAACTCAAGACACATCTTACAATATTTTGTTTGTTTTGAGATGGAGTTTCCCTCGTCCCCCAGGCTGGAGAGCAATAGCATGACCTCAGCTCACTGCAACCTCTGCCTCCCGGGTTCAAGAAATTCTCCTGCCTCAGCCTCCTGAGTAGCTGGGATTACAGGTGCCTGCCACCATGCCTGGCAAATTATTGTATTTTTAGTAGAGATGGGATTTCACCATGTTGCCCAGGCTGGTCTTGAACTCCTGACCTCGTGATCCACCCACCTTGGCGTCCTAAAGTGCTGGGATTACAGGTGTGAGCCACCACATACCTGGCCACATCTTGCAATTATTGGCTGTTTTAATATGGTAGTCCCTCCTTACTTCCCGCCCCCTTCCCCACAAACCCTAACCATGAAATGAACCACTGACCTTATAGCACATAGCAGCTTTGAGTGGAGGAAATAACGCAGATGTGGGACTCATGCATGAGTAAACTAGGTGAGTGGTTTGATATGGGAATTGCAGGAACTT